AAGAAAGGAGAGAGCGTGAGAATCACATGATCTCGATGACGCAACAATATTAACACTTTAAATACAAGCAATATGGTAGTCTATCTCTCTATCTTTCATTTTTTCCTTCACCTTTTCTATAAAAATAAAATGAATGAGACAACCATCCAACACACCATTCCTAGTGGCTCCACCCCCTGTATTTATGTTCTACTAAGAAAGCTTAACTTGATTAAGCTAAAAAGACTTAGAAGCCAAGTATATGTAACTTTAAGTTATGAGGATTTATATTTTTTAATATAAATTGTATTCTCCCCCCAAAAAAAAGGTTTATCACAAGATATTACTATGATTTATACATACATGTATCAATACTTGTTTGAATTAAAAGAGACAAGAGAAATAAATAGCTGCAAGAGCTATGGAAGTACATTTACTGCCATTACATAATTCAAAAATATTTAGAATATTGCTTAAATTATGGCTCATTGTTTAACAGTAAGTTATTTTAATTTTCTCTACAGTACTACTTATCTAAAGTGTTAACACTCAATAGGTAGTCTCCTTTTCTCTTATGTTGTTGTTGGAATGGTCATCCACACCAACAATACCCAAAAGTAGGGGAACAAAGCTTCAGGAGGCAAGATAAGAAATAGTCAATAACTCTTTAAAGACTATGAAGTAATGAGATATTATTAAGAAGCTGAAGCACTATCAACCTTTGATACTTTGGAGAAAAATTAATCACAACTAAGAGTGCAGGAAGCATTAGTGATAGATATTAGCACTTTAATGTTTTGATGAGACTATCCAGGTAGAAGAATAAGCAGGACATTTCAAGAAAATATAAGAGATGGTTTCCATGGGAGCAACACAGTTCTCACTGTATAATGAATGTTGTACAACGTAGATCAAAGACAACAGGTATCAGTACCAAGGTGTAACTGGGAATATACAATATTCAATGATCTATTACTGAGAGAGAGGAAGAGGCGATATATTAAATGTGGAACAACCTGTTGCAAAGAGGCTCATAAGACTGACCATGATTGTATAAGTTTAGAAAGTAAGAGTTGACAAAATTCCTGTTTGGCATAAGGGAGTAATATCTTTATAGAGTGTTTCTGTAAGGCAAGCTTGGCAAGTTTATCAACCCATTTGTTAGATAGATTCACTTGTGTCCAAGGATCCATGTAAATCAAATATGATAAAAATTATTTAAAAAATGAGTGAGTTAGGATTGATATTCCCATATCGAAAGGGAAAAATACAGATGTGATGAGTGTAGAGCTTGGAGAGTACTAAGATAGTTTGAGAAAATAAAAGTATGAGAGAAGGGTACTCTCTCAGTATACCAAACTAAGGGACAAAACCAGTTTCGATAATTTTGCTCAAAAAAATGCCAGTATAATCTGGAAGTTGATAGGATTTAGTCATTCCAAGGGAGGAAACATAAACCAACATTTAGTTTTCTGTGTGACAGAGTTGAAGGTATCCTCATTATACATACACAGGTAACTTGCATAATTATGAAGAAATTCATAACGAAGTTTGAAGGAGTTTTGCATCACATAGAAATGTACTTAAGTAGAGATCTATAGAAGGTTCTTCCTACATCTGTATATCTTTATATATGGATAAAGAGAAATTAGCACACACCAATTACACTTAAAGTAAGTTATGACTCCAAAGACAGAAATGTAAATGATCAAGACTCTTGACAAATGAGAAGAAAGACATTAACAATTTGCAACAAAGAAAAGCCATACAACCTAAGAAAAAATCATGATTTAAATGAAATGCAGGTTATGAAGCAACAATTTACATAAAAAGAAATAGGAGAGAATCATACAGTCTCTAATAAGACATGGAGAGTTGAAGAGTGAATGGGATCCAACTGATGTAAAAAGAAGGATAATGCAGTCCTATATAAGATGCATCCAAAATCAAACTGGGATCAAATACATGAATGACTGTATACTCAGTAGGAATTTATTAAGTTCAGATGTTGGGTGATGCTTTACAACAAGGTCCTGAATATGAGAATTCCATATGAGCTTTTCATCCTCAATGACACCTGCATAGCAGTATTCACTTTAGTAAGATTTAGGTTTTGAAGTGTGGAACAGCTATGGTTTGATGTGTTGAAACTTGGAAAAAATATTGACATTTTAGTGGTGTAAAACAAAATCCATAAGCAGAAAATCAAAAATCTAATGCTAAGAAGCTCTTCTAGGAAAGAACGTGGTTGAATCTAGTATTTCTTTCTTGTTTCCAAATTGTAACATAATTTACATAAGTTCATGCATTGACACTATGGAGGCCTGGCATGGCCTGTGTGGTTAAGGTGCTCAACTCGCAATCTGAAGGTTGCAAATTTGAATATTGTCACCAAACATGCTTTGTTCTTTCATTAGTAAAATGAGTGACCCAAGATGGATAATGTTAACTAGCTGTCTTCCCTCTAAACTATCACTTCAAAATTAGGGACAGCTATTGCAGGTAGCCCTCAAGTAGCTTTGCACAAAAATAAACAAACAAACAACACTAACAAATTGACACTGTGATATGGAAATATTCAATATCACTTAACATAATACTGAATAGAGTAGGGTAGAGTTTGGAGCCCTGAGGAAATCGATAACACTACTGATAAGTAGTAGATTGAGTATTATTGATTCAAACACAGATAGTTGGTCAAATGAACAAGTTGTGTAATTATCTTAATATTGGACCCAGGTAACCAGTACTGTAGAACTTTGGAAGAAAACCATAAATTCTGACAGAATCAAAGGATGAAGAATACCTAGAAAAACAACAATCCCTATGTCTTTGTTAGCAATAGATGTGGCAATAAATTCTTGAAGGCTAGTGAGACAATGCATAAAACTTCTTCATTTACAAAACCCATACTGATCTGTGGAAGATGAGAGCAATATTCCAAAGACCAGATTAGACAAGAATTGATCATATGTTCTATGGTTTTGTAAAGAGAGGTATGATGATATGAGAAAACCTTTGGTACTTCTTCAGATTTTGCAATGGGTAAAATGTTTCCAGCTTGAAGGACAGAAACTAGTGATCCAACTATTATTGTACAGATTAAGAAGAAAATTCAAAGAGATTGTGCTAAAATGTTACAGCTTTTAATGTCTAATAGTCTTCAGTTGCAGTTATCTTCTGGTCAACAGCAAATAGAAACTCTAACATAGTAGAAGGGACATGTGACCAATCTAAGGAATTGTATGCCAACTTTGCTGAAAATAAAGAGAGTATATTTCCTTCATGCAGAATACTGGTATCAACTTTAGAAGAAAGATACTTGGCAAAGTCGTTATGCATTTCTTGTGAGGTTACAAGGAACTTATCCGTGTTGATCCAGGCAACATTACTTGGTGTCTGAGATATCTGGTGCAAAAATCAAAAATAGTGCAAACATGAGAGAAAGAAGTATCTTTGGTAAGAGGCATAAAGAAATCTCACCAACTGGTTCACTTCTAGGTCCAAATGTTTTACTTAACTTGATCATACAGATGTTGATATTGATGTAGATTTGATTTAGAAAAATGATGTTGTAAGGGTTAATAAGTAAATTGATGAAAAGCAATGAATTCTATTACATTCAGCATTCCACCAAGGCATTCACAGATGGAATATGTAATAAGAACTAGGGAGAATGATTGTAATATCAGGGCAAGGCAACTTTTCAGAGTGTGTATCAATGGGGTGAGCTGACCATTATTAAAGATAATAAGGATTTGTTAGTCCAGAAATTATTGCAGTTTCTGTTCATTTGTATCAGTGTGAGCTGAGACCCACAGTGTGTAATGTGCATTAAATTCTTTACAGATCAGAAAATCATCTAATACCAATGAATACAGGTTATCAAGGGAAAATCATTTACAAGAATTATAAACATTGAAAATGGTAACGGGCCTTTCAAGATTCAAAATCTGTTCAGGTCTAAAGACCTATTACCTACCACTATGCATTCCAGGATCACTAATAAATACACATGGTAGCTGTAATGCTACTTTTATTGTCAAAAACTATATGCCAGTTACACCTGTGAACATATGGGGGTATCGAACAGAACTGGTAAATAACTATCAAATCCTCCAGACTGCAATCTTGTTTAAAACCACATCAGCTATAAATGCCCTATAAATTTCAGAAGTGATCCACATGTTACAAATATTCTTAAACTATACTAATATAAAAACTGCAGGGAATGGGTGGTTCAAGATTTTTGCTTGAGCTCTAGTGATATTGTAAACAACTCTTATTTTCATAGTTTCTGTTACTTGCAAATGTTTTTGACACTGACCAATTATCTGCTTTATGTGGTCCTGTACAATTAGCAAATTTTGCATCTATTACAATGCACAAACTATGAGAATGTTTAACACTACACTCTTTCTTACCCCCACATGGATGTCAGTTCCTGGTGGCCTAGGTTTTGGATTGTAGTCGATTTGCTGGCAATATGATCCTCTTTCCTACCCCCACATGGATGTTGGTACCTGGTGGCCTTGTTTTGGATGTAGTTGACTTTCTGTGTATAATCCATCATGCCCTAACCACTCTACAACACCTATGGGCACATCCCTTTCACTTTGCCCACTTTTATGTTTTCCTGGATTGAGTTTAATAAATATTGTATGGTTTGGATCCCTGTCCTGCCATAGTTCTCTCACACTTGGATGTACTCCTCCATCATTCTGCCAGTATGCAACATCTTTCCACAATGGACGAAGAGTATACCTGGTACAGAAATGGTATGTGGTCTTCCATGTATGATCTTCTACTATGAGGATCTACTTTTTGGAGTTGTTCTTCGGATGCTTTCAAAGGATGCTTCTTTCATTACCTTGCACCAGTCCCTCCACCTTTTCAATATGGGATTCTAGCTATTTATGTGAACAGAGGTAATGTACCATATCGGAAGTTATAGTTTTTCTGTAATGAAAATGTATTTCTAATAGGTACTTACCTCTTCTCAAACTTCCCACCCTTCCTCCCCACTGAAAACCAGTACTTCCATTTTCTGCTAAATCTCAAAGTTATAGTTTGGTGGAATTGAATAGAGGGAGTCACATGTGTCAAGAGAGTGTGTTGCACTCTTATTGGTAGAGGGTTGTTGCATGATGACTTGAGGGGAAATGCATTTGAATCAGTTAGTTCAAAGATGAGTGGGAGCTTCAAGGCGTGTGGCATGTTAATTTTTTTTTTTTGCATATAGAGGGCAGTACTGAATGAGAATAGCTATTTATATGAAAAGAGGTAAGTACCTATTGGAAATACATACTCAGTATAGGAAAATTATAACACCACACAGTGCATTACACCCTCATTAACACCTACTCTACCTCTGCTTTACATGTTGAAATTACACCACACATTACATCCTCAAATATACCTTGATGAATTTATTTCCAAATCAAAATGCCTATATGAGTATAGAAAATTGTTTGAAAAAGTTAGTATAAATGTTCCTCAGTTATAATTCTGTATATTAGATTGTATCTCATTGCTGTTTTAATGACAGATGATGTGTTGTTCTTATAAGCACCTTATTCACATACAGTACCTATAGTAGTGTTTAAAACAGTTGTCTTATTATGGAGATGTCTACAAGAGAGGAATTTATTAAATTCAGAATATGAATTAATTAATATATAAAACCTAATTAGTCTTTTGATGTTTTTCTTCTCACTTCAATTACAAATGAAAAGGTAGTAACATAAAATCTAAACACTAAAAATGATATATTTTAAAAATGTACATTTTCTTATGATATTATTTTCACATTTTCATTAGGGATTCACGGGTAGTAAAATTTGGCCAAATATCAGGTCTGGGTACCCAGTCACTAACCTTCGACGAATGGGTTCTCTCCCAGCCCCCTCACCCCGATTAACAACACCATACACAAAAATTAGAAACAAAAACAAAATTGATGTTTATTACATTTAACTAAATACTCACCAACAGAGCATTCAAGTTTTACTTTCAATGCCTAGCCCAACTTCCTAAACCATATTGTTCTCAAAACCCCCATCTTCCCCAGAAATTCACTTCTCAAGCCATGCCTGTTATTAACCTCTGTTGTTCTCTGAATCCCCAACTTTCAATGCGCAGACAGTTTTTGTTGCTCAGAACACGTTTTTTTATTACTAAACCAATTATTGACTGTAACTTTCAGTACCACGTTAGTTGCCACAAAGATTAGGGCTTAGATGCCTAGCTTTGACACTTGGACGGAGCAAAGTATTACCGGGTAGCCCAATACCCACCCGGGCCGAATATCTGGCCAGGTACCCGTGCATCCCTAATTTTCATGTTTAATTTGTGTATATTTTGCATTCTCCATTGCCTTTGCATTTGGAAAATTTTTTACATTTCAGATTTACTATTCAGCTGTTTTAAATTATAAGATAAAATTATTTGAATTCACATTGCACATGATTTGCATTATTTTTATTAAAGAGAAATGTTTCATTTGTTTTTGTATTTTTATATGGTATCTTGCCTTTTCATATGGACAATTTTTTTTTTCTCTTAGAACGAAATACCCAGTGGAAGAGTCTATAGATCCACTGATCTTCAAAACATTTTGAATGGACATATAACTGAAGGTTATCTAAAAACTGGTGATTTAGAGGATGAATTAGTTCTCATGTCAGTCAGAGGAAACTCAGGAATTCGTGTAAATATTTACAATACCCCAGAAAAGGTAAATAAATTTAGGTCACTGTTAAGTATGTTTTATTATGGCCATATTTTGTTTTGTCATAAATAGTGTTAGAATTATTTGTTAAATTTACTAACATAATGTAATATGGATATAAAGGGACCATTTGATTACTCAAGGCTGTCTTTCCTTACCTGCCCCTGATAAGAAGTAAAAATATAAATCCATCATTCATTTTTCAGGAATTTGTCTATTCCTCTCTTTAAAGCTTGCAAGTTGCCAGCCTCCACTACTGCTGATGGCAAATGATTCTGTTAACAAGTCACTATCTTAGAAAACTATTAATTGGAGTCTCAGCTGTCTTTTTCCAAATTAATTTTGTCATCTCATCCTATTGTCTTCAGAATACCGAACAAAGAAAACAAGGGCCTTTATCATAATCTTCCAGATAATCTTGTAAACTACTGTAAGATTACCTGTTACCCTTCTTTTCTTAAGAGAAAATAGATTAAGAAATCTTAACTTATTCTGGCCCAAGCTGTGTGTTGCAGCAAGTTGCTAGGGGTGGTGTGAGAGTTTCATCAAAAGAAGAAGAATTAAGAACAACAACAAAAAACTATAAAAAGATATTGCATGTGGCAGCAGGAGTTATGCAAATTAAGGTAAGCTGGTTAGGGTGTCGTCAGTGGGAAAAGTTTGGAAATCACTGCCATAAGATAACCTTTCCATCCCTATAGAATCATCCTTGTAGCCCTCCTCTGAATCTTAGCTCCCAAGTAATTTAATATCTTCTTTTTTTTTCAGATAAGGATACCACAGTTGCACACAGAATTCCAAGTGATGCCTAAATAGCTGTTTTGTGAACATAAAACGTTTCATAATAAGACACTGTTACCCAACTCTTGAGGGTTTTTAGTAGGTTTTCCAAAATCCTGTCATTTCTTTTATGCCAATAATACATCAATATAGCACATAGGTATGGAGCTGAAAATAGTGTGAGGGTCAAAATATAAGTTCCTGGTTTGAGTGTATAAAATAATTTTTTTCCCCTCAGATTGTCACAGCTAACTGTGCTAGAATTGTCAAAGCCAACAATTATGCCAGGAATGGTGTTATTCATGTAGTGGATACAGTACTACCCATACCCTCTCAAACTGTGGCTGACATTATTAGCAGTGATCCCCAGTTTAGTACATTGAAACAACGTAAGTTGAAAATAAAATTTATTATTTTATTTGGATGTAGATATTGACAATAGTAATCTCTGAATTCATCTCAAACACCTTTCAAAATTTTCATCAACCCATCTTTATGATAGTTTAGAAAATGTTATACTACTTCATAACAAAATACATATCTGCATGGTCTGAAATTCATGTCATTTAGTCAGCCCTGACCATCTTGGAGGCCTGTAGGTCAACTAGAATGGTAGAAACATAACCTAATCAGCCCTCTTGGACCATTTAGAATTTTAAGCATTTTTCCTTTTTTTCTTGTTATCAAACATGCATCTCTATACTTTTTTCCTAAAAACCATAGTTGTGTTTTTGTCTCATGAAAGTACCTCCTTTACTTCAGTCCCTCAAATGGAGCCTCTAACTTTCTGGGGATCTCTTGCCTATTTTTAGACATGGGGAATTCTTATGATGTCTGAAATGAAAAGGAGGTTCTTGGAATGTGTAATTGGTAGGAAAAATCCAAACTAAGTGTGTCAAATATTAATGTCTCGATGGAGAAATATTTTACCTTTTAGTATTACAGTAGTAATCTCAAGTCACATTACTTTTTGTATTTATCTGGATTAATATAAAGATTTTTTACATGCCAAGTGTGATATAATCAAAAACTGTTGTTTTCAATTGAATAGTTTTGTTTAATGTTATATATATATGCACATACATATTTGCAATTGTCTTTTTAAAAAAAAATTCACATCTGCAATTGATAAAATAGAATCAACATATATATATACGTGTTTTCGGAGTAGACCAGTTATACCTGATAAGGACAATTAGAATCCCTGGAAGACTAGTTAGATTTTTGAAGAACAATTTAGAAATCTTAGACCCTGACAGATACTTATCTTTAAAGCAATTGTATTGATTTCAGTAAAATTTGTAACTGAGAACTAGATATTATCAAATGTTTCATCACACGTATTTCTGTATATGAATCACATTTCCAGGGTTTTGTTAATGTTACTATAAAATTTTGTACATTATGGTCACAGTCCTTCTTTCAAGATAGTGTATGATTGAGTTCTAGTAAAAGGTGTTTTCTTTCAATATGATGTATGGTGGTGAAAGTGGGTGTCTCTTGATGTTGATGTTTCTTAACTGCATAAAAATTGAAGACTTTTCAGGAGTTTCATATTGTTTTTATTGCAGTTTGTTAAATGTAATTGTATAAGTATTTTTAATTTTTAAGGTTTTAGTACAAAATTTTCCTAAGTGACAACTTGTTGGTTATTAAATATAAAAATGAAGTCAGTATGCTTGTTTTGAACTAAAATTCTGTATTTTTTTTATCTTAAGTTTTAAGTGAAGCTGGCTTGGTACAGACACTGAGAGATCTAAGAGGCCATTACACACTATTTGCTCCAACTGATGCTGCATTTCTTTCTGATGCTGTACAACCAAAACTGTTAGAACAGCTTTTGAAAGGAGATGGCTGTGTCTCAAGTAAGTGTTTATTAAAATTCTAAATATTTATTGTGCTGTAACTACTTTGCTCTGTGATAATTATAAGTCCTTAGAATTCGTTTATATTTCTTTTTGTTACTAAACATATGTGATCTAATAAGCGCTGTGTAAGTGATGTACCATCTCAAGAAAGGAAGATAATGTATACATTCTTGATAGAAACACAGAACATTTTATATGAATGATATAACACACAATTATGTACAAGGGTCCAAATAAAAAGCCTTAATGCTTTGTTGTATAGGATAAGAATACAAAACTGATTTTGTGTGTGTGTGTGCATGTGTAACTGCTTTAATATTTATTACTCTACAGCAATGATTCCCATGAGAACCTTTGAAGAATACTAAAAAAATAAACCACATGCCTTAGAATTAGAGGGCAGTCTCAGTGACTTAACAAGGTAGTCCACTAGCCAGTAGTAATGTTTGTGTATTGTTGACTCACTGTTACATATACATGACTGTTTAAATTTAATGTGAGTGTTATGATTTATATATATTGTGTATAGTACAAGTGCCAAAGTTAGTTATTTTTAGAAGTGATAGTTTATCACCAGTTTGTTTACACAACTGTTTGTGAATCATACATTGATAGTGCAATAGTTATGAATCTGATACTAGAACCTTCTGAGTTTTTCTTATTGTTTTAATTGAGTATTATTGCATGATAATATCTAGTAATATGTAGAATTTTCTAAACCTCTGTTGAGTTATAGATACACATCGAAAATGTGGTTCGAGATAAATCTAGACTGCATGATAGTGAGTTTAGCCATAAAGAGTGTATAGTGAAGATTTTTAAAGAGAAATGATCACAGGTTGTATTGTAATAACAGAGTAGAGAAGAATAATTTGTCTTGTCAGTTGTGTTCCAAAGTAATTGAACCAGCCTGTGTAGACCTTGATGAAAAAGAGACAATTACGTAAAGTTCTGGATACAACTATAAAAACCAACAGGGTAATGAACATTTGTATACACGTTTGACTTGTTTTAGTTTCAAAAACAGGTGGACTGTGTACATTTTGTTTATTGTTGAAATTTAGTGCCAGCAAGTCACAGACACCTACTGTAAAGAATCTGGCCCATACATAAAAGCTGAAAGTGGTGAGCCAGCCAGGACCTACAGTGGTAAATGGCACTAGAAGTAGATGTAAACAAAAGCAGCAAACAGGCCTATATATGCACAGCTTTAGTGGTGGCAAAAATATTGTATATGTTACAAATACAATATATAACCATGTTTACTGACGTAGATAGAGAGGGACTAGAGACTTGGGCTCAAATATGTGATCTACGAGAGTTTATTAAACAGCAACATGATCTAGAGAGAGAAGAGCATAAGCAGAGAAGAGACTTCAAGTGGAGGAAGCAGAAAGGAAATAAAAAGAGAGAGAGAGAATAAGAGCACAAATTGATTACCAAGAAAAGTAGAGAGAAAGAGAGGAGAGACTAGAAATAGAGAATAAGACCACAAATTGAGATTGTCAACTCACCTAACAGAAAGATGAAAGACCCAAGAATGACAATGGGGTCACGGCTAGTCAACCCAAGCTGCCCAAATTTGATGAACAGAAAGATAGCATGGATGCTTTCCTGGAGAGATATGAAAGATTTGCCCAGTCAGAACTAGGACAAAGATGACAGGGCAGTCTGTCTCAGCCCCCCCCCCCTTCTCACAGAAAAAGGCTTACAAGTGTATGCAGGCAGTGGTGGGATTCAGCCGGTTCGCACCAGTTCATGCAAACCTGTTCTTAGAATTTAATGACCTCCACGAAACGGTTGTTAACAATCGTATGTATAGGCCTAATAATAACGTTACAACTTACAAGTATGCGTGTTTACAACGCAACTTTACTAGCAGGCTAGGCTGACTAGGTCTACTAGATCTCTGATGAATCATTTGCCAACAGGTAAGTGTTTTTTTATACAGATTCTTATGATCTTACCTAAATTATTATATCATCTACTATAGGCCAAGCATCCTAGGCCTACGTGTGAGTGCAAATCTGTGCTGAATTATTAGCCAGCGGGTGAATGCTTTTTCTACAGATTCTTATCTAAATAATTACATTAATCTATTATTATTATACCTAAGGTTAGATCATCTATATACATAGCTCTAGGCCCCTAGATCTATATAATTAATATACCTTATACAGCTATGAAAATTGAAATGTTATGCTATTAATTGGCAAGCACGAAATTGCAGTAGAAAATATTTTTCCCCAATAATTTATAAAATTATTATCATATTTATAAAATTATT